TATTGTGGAATTTTTTAATTATTAAGCGCAATAACTAAATTAATGCTAGCATATGACATGTCGAATCAATTAAGGAATCAACGTGGACATTTCTCTACTTACATGTACTTAAATATAATTTTGCTATTTTATTCGTATTAAAAAAAGCATCTTTATAGATTAAAATTTATTTTTTCAAAGTATTTCAGATGATCCGGAGTTCAACTAGTCCGGATCATGTTAAATACCTTATAAACCCAGCTTAATTATGTTGTTTAAGATGATTTAGAGTGAAATTTAAGTTCGAATCACCTTAAACACAGACTCATGATCCTCTTAAATAGCTTTTAAACTGAACTTAATTGTGTTTTTTAAGATGATCCAGAATTCATATTCGAATCTTCAAAGGCACAGAAACAAAATATAGCTAAACGGAGCTTAACTAAGATTAATTTAAGATGATCCGGAGTTCAACATGTCCGGATCACCATAGATGGCTTATAAACCAAGCTTAATTATAAGATGATTCGAACTTAAATTCCATTCTGGATCATTTTAAATTAAGCTGCTTGTGTTTATGAGACAAAGGTTCAGAAGCATGTAGTTAAACGGAGCTTTACTGTGATTTATTTAAGATGATCCGGAGTTCAATTTTATAATCCGTAAAGGGCTTTACAGCTTTATAAGCTGGTATTTTATGAAAAATGCTACACGTAAATAGAGTAACACGGGATTTTCAAGAAGATAAAAGACTAAAACATCCAATTTTAATTAACATAAATTTTTCTGTAGCTTACTCAATGTATTACTACACGAATTTCGTTAATTCGGTTGCATTTTTCTCAATTTATTTGTGAAATATGAATAAAAATACATGTCTCCTCTCACTGTAAACGTTATTATTTATTTAAACTGGATTTAAAATAGGAAGAAACGTGTTTGAACACGTCTAATTCAATTAATTTGTTAATTTAACATTAAAAAAAATAGAATAAACTTCAAAATAATCAGGAATTTAATTGAGGGAAATAAATTTAGATAAGAGTAAATAATTTAATTTATTTTTATAATAATTAAATCATATTTTTAGAATAATTTAAAATTATAATAAAATGGCGGATATCATATTCATTCTTCAAATTTATTTTCGTCTTAGAGTTAAAAATTTATATAAAATAATCTAAAAATATATTTTATAAAAAAAATTAAGTGAGCGTTTTACGTGTATTATATGCGAATTGGGAATGATTTTCTGCATCAAATTCTCTTCATCACCACTTAATTACTGTTGTGTGCATCAAACGATCGAAGGTTAAGACGTGAAAGAAACCTGGAAAATAAATTTAATTTTAAAAAATAAAATTAATATATTAAAATTTGAAGAATTTATATAAGCTTGAACGTAATGTGGAATGTAAAAAATGAGAATAAATAATCGATAAATAGTTCAGCTTGTATAGTGTCTCCATCTGTTGATGACCAATTGAATCAATTCGTGAAAATATGACAAATCCTCGCTTTTACGACTCGTATAAATTTCATTATTATCCTATGGAATGTATCTTCGTTTTATTGACTATTTTAGTGTCGTATTATCTCGTTAAAGTTTTATTTCCTGGAACAAACCTCAATTTATGATGATAAAATTATGGAAAATTAGAGTTCGTTTTACGACATCTTCCTAACATCGGCTTTAATGAGAACAAATTAGGTCTTAAAACGGATTAAATTATGGTTAAGTTTGATGACTTTTGTATGATTTTTTACCACAATTTCAACGTCATTTTGCAATATACCAATTAATTTATAAATGAATAGGGACTTCTATATTTAAGTAAATAAATTTTGTGTACTGTATTTTCTAATTACACGCAGTTAGTAAATGGAAGTCTGAGTAATGAAGACAGCAACTTGCAGTTTTGGGAAACTCTGATTCTTTGTTAAAAAAACAAAAAATCAAAAGACCTAATTAGTGGTCCGCTTTACCTCCTGACTTCATATACGCTATAAGAAGACATACTACTATCCATGTTGGAGAGGTTTTCTGTACAAACCAGAACCGACAAAAACCTCTGTTGTACAGAGGGTACAGTTCAGCAGAGGTTTTTGTTTCTGAAATTTATTTTCATATGAATTTTTATATGTACATGTACTCGTGTGAGTATTTACTGTATCTGCAAAAACAAAAAGTATCTAATTCTATGTAAAGCCTATTCTTGATGTCCTCTAAGATGGTGCCCAGATACAGATCTTCATTATTCTATCACTCCTTGATAGCCGGATGACCTAGAAGGTTAAAGCTTCCTCGGTCATTCGGCCTATCGCTCCGAAGATCCGGATTCGAATTCAGAGGAGAAACCCGGGAAATTTTTCAAGGTTAGTTTATCTCGGATGTATCGGGTCTCATCCTCACTTATCATCTCACTTCATTGTGGGCCTGGCCAAACCCACTATGAGTATGATTCAAAGGCCTTTTTAATGTCCACAGAGTAGAGTCAAAAATGAAAAGAGATCTCTGCCGCCCTATTCTGGGCCCGAGGAAACCTGTAATATGCACGAGAAAAGTCCCTTTCCACGTAGTCAAACATCAGTCCGGATTACTCACTAATTCGTAAGTTTATACGAATAATTCCAGATTGGGGAGCTTTTTATGTGCATTTGATTCTTTTATTTTTCCGGTAATGGGCCAAATTTACCCGCAAAATTTTAATACTGTAGAGGTTCGATTTAATAAATCAATGAATCGGCCCCATCGAGGGTCGGCCCGTCTCTTTCGGACAAAAATGACACTAATCAATTTATTGACCGCACTTTAACAAATTAATCAATCTTCTATTTCATGCCTTTACCTGGTATTTTTTTTATTAAACTGTTTTACTGGAAATTTATATTAAAAAAATCATGAAATTCGCGTGGGTATGACCTCAGAACGAGAATTACGCGAGGAAAGTTTATGCTAATTAGCGAACATTTTTTAAAATTATATAAATATTTTTGTATATGGCCATGCTATTCACATTTTCAAAACGGGTTGTTAATTAATGGAAACGGAAATGGACGTCAGACGCCTCGCGTCGCGTCGCATCGACGTTTATAAGATAAGTCGCGCCGCGTCGCCTTTGCGCGTAGGAAAGCAAGATGTCTGACTATACCGATATAAGATATGTATCGTTAAATTTACTGAATCGTAATCCACATTTCCGATAAGAAATCTGTTAAAATGAAAGACATAAATAATTTGAATATTTTTATTTATATTAATTTACACAATTCTTCTCGATATAGGTTAAATTTAAATAGAATAAGATAATTTCTGTACGAAGAAAGTAAATATATTGGAGCACCAGAGAGACGAATTAAAACTTCATTAATTCTGATTTCCTTCTGTTTGTAATGGTACAAAAACTACTTTTCTCTATTTAATTAATTATATTCCATAAAATTTAATTTTATTTGCATTGTGATAAATAAATTACAAGCGCATTAAAATGGCTAAGGTCTTTGCCCCTGAATGTCTGCTTTTTTACTAGTATCGGATGCTCTACAGTGAAGCTGCACGCACGTTAATTTTTTTGTCTTTTTTTTAAAAAGTAATTATTTTAGATAAATTTTTTACTATTTATTAGCTTAAGTAGTTATATTGCGATTATTATAATGGTAAAAACATAAACATGATTTAAATGTAAAGTTTTAATAATTTAAATACGATATTCTAAGAAAATTTGTCATTCATTTTTTGAAAATTTGACTTGTTCTCAATATACAGTAAAACCTGCGTAAACCAGAATCACACGGTGCCGAATATTTATTCCGATTTCGCAGGTTTTTGTTGCGAATAACGTAGAAAATCGCTCTGTTCCGAAGAATTTGTCCCGTTTAGACAAGTTTCCGTTTTATACAGGTTCCGTTTTGGACAGGTTTTACTGTACAGTATTTATATTTAATTATAAAAACAATATCGAATGACGAAAAATCATAAATTTGATTAATTTTATCTTTCTGTACTACTAACATTGATAGGATACATGTATGACTTACACGACTGTATCTAGCTATTTTACTCTACTGTTTCCAGAATATATACATGGAATATTTAAGAGGATCAACTGAATATATTAACCTTTATATCTGTAATATAGAATCGGAGATAAAACAGAATCGCCCATAATAAATCGCGTAGAAACTAGACTCCATTCCGAATCCTTCGCAGTAAATGAGATGCAAATGGAAACTTAAGCTGGGTTACAATTTGCAGAAACTGCATGACAGAAAATATAGACGTACTTTTGAGGAATTAGTTAGGTATTCTATCGATTACTTATTATTTTTATTTTTTTAAGTTCTGTTATTTGACTAATCGTCTTTTATTTTGTCACGCTCAAGAGATAACACACGTCACACTCGAAGTGGCAGACAGGAATACTAGTGACAGGTTTTTATGCAAATTAGTTCTTGCTGAACGTTGTATAAGCAGAATAAAAAATCAATTTTGTTAAATTTCTCTTTGATCGTTAACATTAATCATTTTAATTGCATTCTTTGAGCACGAAGCGGGTGAAGTGGGTGGCAAACTTTTAAGAGAAGACACTCGGTCTAGTATTAATTTTTATCCATTCGCAGTATTTTCAGGCATTAATAAAGCCGTTTATTTACTAATTTATCAGATTTGATATTAAGAAATAATTATAAAAAGAAAGTTTAAGCTTAACTCAACGCTTACATCACTTCTTAATTTATCACAGGCGTAAAGAATCCGGTCGGAGCAAGAGGCAATTTTGTGGCTTAAATGAAATTCTATATTTATTTATTGAGTCATTTAAGTAATTAGGCCGTTATACTTTAATTATGACGCGTACGCGTTGAAGAAACTTTAAAAAAACCGAGCGCACTCGAAGCCTCGATACCCTAAAACATCATTAAGTAAGCAACGTCCGAATATCGAACGATCTGGATATTGCAGCTACCTTGAAAGTCGACATAATACTGTTTTAGTGTCTGCAGCTCGGACCGGAGCATGCGTTCTTCACGCGATCAATATTCTGACTGTATTGTACGTATCGCTGCAGTCAGTCATAACTACATTCCTTATACAAACATCATTTTAACCATCCTACCGGCCGTCCATTTCATATTGTTGAGTGGACCCTAAGATTTGGATATTCCTAGTCCCAGGCTGTCGGACCGAAATGAAAGAATTCCCTTGATCGTCTTCGGTCTCTGTCCAAAAACACTGCAGCAAAATGGTAGCCGAAGGAGAACAGGTAAAGCAGCACGTGCTTGCATAAATAAAAAATTCGAATGTATATATATATATATAGGACTATATTATGTATATATGTAACTTATACTCGATCGTTCCTACGCATATAAAGACTTTATACGTACGTAACTTTGTTTATATATTGTATTACTTAACTGTATGCAACGTCGCATCATTAAAGTTTAAGTTCTTCCTGTTAGATTTTAGGAAAATGATGTGGAAGAAGAAGAAGATGGGCGTCGTCTCCATTTCAGTTATATAAAAATAGCCTACATAGAAATATTCCCGAGTGTTTCTTTTAATTATTAACATATTTCTAACCTCGATTATTTTATTTTTCTACCCATAAATCTGGATATTTTAGCTTTCTAACAGGAATATTGTCTTCATTACTCAAAATCCTAATTTTAGATCCTTACGAGAGTCGTTATTTATTTCAGTGAAGTAACATTTCGTGTAACCACACATTGTTTAATCATTAGTTAATTTATATTTATTTATCGTCTAGTTTAATTGGCAAATAAAATAATTTTCGTCTCCGTAATTTTTGGCATTTTTAAACGTATTTTAACATCTAAAAAGTATTTTTTTCTCAGTAACATTATTAAATACACGCTGTCACAATGGTGAATAATAGTTTAACACGTTACACAACACTTAATTCCGCTTGCAATATTTAAAACAATGCATAAAAATTCCTGCTCTTGCGATGCATTTTTTAAATGTTTGAATGCTGTCGAATGGTCTAAATTTATAAAAATTCGATATTTATTTTAAGTGTGTATTAAGAATAAGGGTATGTATTATGTGGAAGAAGGCCATCCGGTGCAATTTGGTACCATCGGATGTCGCAAATTTGCCAAATTAATCGATGTCGCCAATCGATCATAACCACATTTTATGGATTTGCTGTCGAAAGTGAATGAGCGCTCATGAAAAAGGAGTTGTATGTGATGTGGAGTGGATAAATTTATCGATTTATAACATTTTTATTGTTAAATACAACTTTTAAAATAAATAATTGTAATTTAATTCCATAGCCCGAAGTTAAAGTTTACGTAAGAAGGCACTTCGCTGCCATTTTTTAATCATTAAAATTCGTATCTTTTATAATTATTTATATTAATTTTAAAAATATTTTCAGTTAATAGATTTATTTAATTTGATATCAGATTTATAAGCGTTAAATTTCCTATTATACGATTTCGTATAGAGAATATAGCGTATCTATTTTTAGAAGGTTAGCGTGATGATGCAGTCAACAACTTTATAAATATCGATAGAAATTTGATAGAATATATCGCGTTATAAATCTTTTCGATAGGAAAAACATGATTTTTATCATTTTAGATTAATTTTATATTTCTATAACAATTAATAAGCTGTAATTAGCGCCCATTTTTAGTCATATCATCAGTTTAGGGTCATTTTCACACTATAATTATAGCTTATTACACTATAAACTTTTATAATGTAGATGATTAAGAAAATACCATCATTCGAAGTAAGTTTTTAAATTAATTACTCTTCATTAACGAGCGAGAAAAGCATAAAACAACATTTGCCACCTCAGTCTTTACTGTTATATTTACGCCAAATTTAATCAAATCTATTATTTATGATGTTGACTTAATTATATTTAAGTTACTAATCGCTTAAGGAGCGTTAAAAGAAGCGAGTCACGTGACTCTAGAGGTCTCCGGAGGAGCCTTTAACTCCTGACAACCATTTAAACGAGTCGATACAGTATTTTTATTAAATCAATGCGCGATGCGAAATGTTTAAACGATAACGGCAGCAATTTACGAATTGCAAATGATCTCTGTAAGCTTTAAATAGGGTTTTAAACTAATCAGCTCGAAGTTATGGCTTTGCGAACATACAGATTAACTGGAATGCTTGCTATGTTATCGCTTAAAATAATTAAATTAGGTTACGAATATCTATAATTTATTAAATAACGTGTCGTGATTGAGGTATACCTATTCGTGTATTCGACATAATACGGACTGATTGCGTGATGTGGCTTATTTACAAAGGAGAATCTTTGTGACAACGTTTAAAAATTGTTTTCTCTTCCTCCAATCTTCAATTTTTAATCGTAAAAATATTTAAAAAACGCAAATATATCGTCAAATTTTGATTTCCTGCAACATCTTTCGAATGCAACGAATGGCCTTTATAGGAATTCTATTATTTCGTAGGCATAATAAAGACGATCAGTCGCAATTAGCGATTAAGTTTTAAATTTTGTGGAATTTCTTCCTTGCATTTACGAGTAATTGAAAAAATAAAAGAATTATCAGGATTTTTTATGTTTCTCTCTGTTTTTTTCCTACAGAAACAGGATCCAATTTTTTTCACTATGGCCAAGAGTGATGCCGAACGGCCTTCATTTTAATACAGTTTATACTTTATTTAAGATATAATTTTGACTCTATTCGGTACCAATAGGTAAATAATGGCGACAATAAGTAGCATTTATTATTTTTTTCCCGTTATTTAGTTATAGATGAATTTCGACCGAATCGGCGTTAGGATCTCAAGCGTTAAAACACTCTGGCACACTTGTCGAAACACGATCTAATTTAAATCACGGCCGCGTTAGCTTTGAATTGTTTATTCTAGAATTGTTTCTCGATTAAGATCAGTCGTTTAGCTTAAACAGCGCGAACTCTTATGTCATTTTGGCGTAACTTCCTCATACAAAATTAGTAGAAATGCTAATTTGACGCCGATTTAAACCAAAGTATTTCTGTACGATTCAACCGTTTTACATATGCGATTAAAATTAAATCATAAAATAAATACTAAATTATTAATTAATTGATTATACTAATTATTAATTTAATACATTTTAAACTTATTTGATATTTAAAAATTTTAATTGTTTATGATAAACATAAACAGCAGATAGAGGGCGAGATTAATTATCGTCTGCTAAGCATTGTGTGAAAGGTATGAAATTTTTTCATTTGTTATGTTTGGGACTAAAAAAATAGAAGTATTATTGAAATTTTCTAAGAGAAACGAAGATAAATTCAGGTAATATAAGATATGAATTTCAGTTTCAATTATTTGTAATGTACTGTATAAACTATGGCTGTATGATGTCAATTTGGATTCAGTAGGAACATCATTGCTCTATATTATATGCATATACATGTACATTATTCATATGCATACACATATGTATAATGTACATATTCTAAATCTACAGTTTATTAATGATCATAAATCAGTCTATACACCAAAAACATTGTTTGTTTTTCAAATAAAGTTACTTTTAGTAATTGAGAAATAAAACCAGTCACAGAGAAAAATAAAGGTAGAGAGATGCAAAGCTATAATGATGATTCGTGACTTTTTTTTTTACTCTTTTGGCGTGACCACGCTAAAATTTGAGCCCGTCGTGAGTTTGACAAGGTCCACGATGGGATGACCTGGGGTGAGGAGTGGACTACTTCCCCAGAAAATTCTTGGGGATTTATGAACAGCCCGGATTCGATCCCGAGCAGTAGGTCGACGCCTTAACCGCCTCGGACGTCTGGCCGACTAAGAACGGTGTAGACCCGTCAAAATGGATTGATCTCCGTTATTAGTTGTTATCCGTCCTGTTCGAAAATGTATCCTATAGTGAAATTTAACAAGCTGAAAGAAAATTTGGTACAAATGCAACTCTGAATGAGGCAGTTTGGATCTTATCGGAGTTGTAGACCATGCTCGTAAGAATAAAAATAAGTGAATACATATAATTTTTTGAAGCCAAATATTTATATTTTTATACAGTATATTAGACAGAAGCATCAAATGCTTTTATATAAATTGCAAAAGTAGTTTAAATTATTTTTTTTAACAATAGAGTCCACATAAGTTGTGATAGGTATAACCGTCGGTTAAGTAGTCAGTTTTCTGTGTCCCGGGTGACTTATGTAGGCATTAATGTTAAAAAACTCTGGTTTACTCGACACCGTTTAACTCGTCAGCACTGGATAAATCGATATACTTTTTCTGTCCCACACTCATTTAGACATCTGATAAGTTGACTCCCCTTCTGAAAAAAATGAGCTTAACATCACAGCAGAAAACGATTTTGCATTTTCTCACTTTTCATTCATGCGTTATTTGCAGCAAGTGTTTCACATTTCTATCAGAAATGAGTATCTAAAACCTAACAACGCTTACGCTGAAGGAAAAATATGAACTTGTATCTGAATTTTAATGTAATAAAACTTTGCAAGCTGAATTTGCAAAACCTTCCAAGAAGGATATTGGTGGAAATTCTGAAGAAAAAAGAGGAAATTAAGAAACTTTTTCTTGGGTCTTTGTCGCAGCTGTCTCGAAAACACCAGAGAAAGTTGCCGTACAAAGATGTCAAAGATGTTCTGGTACGTCGGCTAAAGCAAATTCATTCATCTAATATTACTGTTTTGGGGCCAATACTGAAACAAAGCGATGGAAATTGCTGAGGTACTTGGAGTAGAAACCAATTTTAGTGCCAGTGATAGATGGTCAGAATGATACATTACATGTGCTGTATAAAGTACTACTATATTTTTTTAGTTGTAGTTTTATGGTTTTTTTTTTTTCGACTTTGTTTTAGTCGTCATATTGGATAACTCGATACATTTCCACTTCCCCTTGGGGTGTTTAGTTATGCGGACTCGACTGTATTACTTTACAGTTCTTTATAAGTTTAAAGTTTTGTATTACAACAATATGCTGGACAATTTAGCAGTTTTCCTTGCTCATTAGTCTAGAGTGCAATAATGATTTTAGTTGACAAAATGGATTACATTTATTTGAATGTGAGCACTTGCACTGGCCAATTTTTACTCAAGGCAACTAAAAACTTACATTATGCTTTAGTTTTTTCGCAATGAAACTTTTGTTTTCAAAATAGAAAAAGTGAATTCAGTTTGTCACAAGCATTAAAGATTATTTAGTTAGTTATCAACTCATCAATGAGTTGGCATCTAAACAATCACTAGTACACTCATT